TAGAATTCCAACGGTATCAAACAGTCAGGTGAATGAAGGCCTAGGCTTTGGTTTACTTCGAACTGCTGACACAGTCAGCAACTCAAACCTCTGTCGACTGATGCATCTCTATGAGTGGAACGAGGCCTCATTTGCCGTTGTCGTTCGTCAAAATGCCATGACATCCTAGGTAGAATTTGCCGAAGTCTGTTTATCTGCATGATGCTGAATACATATTTCAAGGTAACGATGAACGGTAGTTGCTTGTCACTTCTTATTTCTGCTTTTTCTCCTTGTTATTCCTTTGAATTCCAAGTGGGATGTAGGGCTTCAGACTTTCAAGCCTTGAAGGTTCACGCCTAAGCTTCCCTTTTATACTGGGACCTACTACCAGTCAAATGAGGTTTGAGAAGTGCATCAAACGGGAGTCGAACCGAGGCCATGCATTTGATTTGAGAGTGTTGATCTATCACTGAGCCACAGGAGCAGTTGTCGCCTATAGTGAAGGTGAATAAAATCTATGCTGGTGATAGTAACATATTCTCTCCCCGCCATTTAAGTTCTTGTCTTGTGGAAAATCTCACTGATCTCAAGAAGTCTTCAGCCACTGAAAAAACCATTTAATAATGAAGCATCGGATGATTGTTTCATAGTACTCTGAAAGTTTTCACTTATACGTGATTCTGTCATAAAATAAATTAGATCCTTCGGATGAAATTTTAGAGCTTTAATACAAAGCTATGTGAAGACGTATACTGAATGACCCATCTAAAAGATGACTGAGGAATTTCTCAAAAGTTTAAAAAGGGCTGACAATGGACAGTGTGATTATGCGTCTTCAATAGCTACTCACATCTGTTTCAAAGAACCTTCAATGCAGTAGGGTTACAAATTATGTTCTCCACATGTCGAATAACAATACCGAGACTGAAAATGAAATTATCTGGAATGGCCAATTCCTTTCATTTTTATCAATCCAGCTGCTCCTGTAGCGGTTTATTACAATGATCGTAGTTAATCTAGGAATTTAATCTCCTCGATATAAGTATAAAACTTGGGCACTGTGGTAGAGTATAACTCCTTTATAGATAAGATTTTATTTTGATAAATCACACAGTGGTGTTATACAGTAATATTAACTGATGACGTTTCGAGCACAAACTATTGCTCATAATCATATCAAGCTACTCACACATCTTTTTCCTTCATTTATATACATAAGTGGAATTGACCAGATATTTTAATAAAAATCAATATGGGATAATGTACATTCAGAAATAATAGTACGAGTGTTATTGATCAGTTACAATCAGATGGAAAATAAGACGAGTGTTTTTCTGGTCATAATAAGTTACTTGTTAGAATGTTGTGATGTGCTTGAATTGAAATAGAATTTTAGGATTATTGATTATCCTCTTCTGATTTGACTGGCGACAATAATATCTTCCATATTTCCGGTAAGAGTGATGAGTCGTTCCTACTGCATGTGTTGAGTGTAGACTTGATGAACAAGGATTCAGTAATCAACCTCTCTCTCTTCACCTACTTATATTACTTTTTAGAATTTTAACCGTATCTCACCCTATTGTGTGGTTGTGTGTTAATGCATGCAGTGCAATGTAGTGCTAAGTTTTTTCTAAATGACTTATCTACTCGGGGTCAATCATTCTTACCTTAGCTAAATTCTTATGTTCTGACAGGCAATCTCACTAATCCTGATCTACTAGTTTGACCCATGTAAATGAATTAACTCACCGCCATTGCAAGGTGTTTCGTAAATTATATTATTTTGTTTAATTGGGTCTACCGGGTCTTTTAGCCTACAGAGCTTGTCCCTGAGTGAGTTTGTAGGTTTGAATGCCACCCTAATTCCTGCTTTATTAAGAATCCTACGTAGGGTCTCAGATGTCCCCTCCTTATATGGTATAACAGTAGATGACTTATATTCTTTCATATTTATGTTATAGCCACTAGTTTCACAATTAATTTTATTTTGCTTTTGACCTTTCCTGATCTTCGTAATGAATTTTATAGGATAGTTATTTGATACCAATGCCTCTTCTATCTGTTTCATTTCATCATTTAGGTCTTTTCTTGTACTACTTAGTGCTACTGCTCGGTTTGTTAGATAGACACTTAACTAAGCCTGCCTTAACAGTTAACGGATGAGATGAATTAAAGTTTAAATGTCTATTAGAATGCGTTGGTTTTCTATAAACACTAGTGTGTTAACACCTTCAGTTGTAAGTTAATTCACAGATTCCGGGAATGGATTGTATAAAAAGAAAAGAGTTGGTCTCTGTTGACTTTTAGGCTCGTACTGTGGATACTTCGACGATGTCAGAAGATTAACATGATATTATTTACACTGATAGGGACTAGTAGTAGGATCAACGATGGGCAGATTGTTCCACTAGAGTTTCATCAGCTGGATGCACCAGTATTTGCAGTGAGTGAGGTATTTCTCTGCTAGTCCTTGTCAGTTAAAATAACCTTCTTGTGTGCATACAAGAGGTGTTATAAATACTAGAAATCACTCTACATAAACCCAGTTACTATGAACGGCAGAATCGTTTCATTTACAGATGGAAGAGATGAAGACGTTAAAACCAGAATCGGAAAGACAAAGTATACCTCTGAAATCAGTTTGTAAATCTACCGCACTTAAATGGGTCAGGAACTTGACACGCACGTCACGAAAATCATTTTTAACAGGCTACTGCAGACGTTTATCAACAGCTGTCTTCCTTGGCTCTATACGGAAGATCAGATGGCGGGAAAGAACTATCAGGAATAAACTCTGGGGACGAACCGATCAGAAACTTATTGCCCAACGGATATGCTGAAGAAAATGGAGGTTGATTGGACAAACACTGAGGAGACCGTTAAGTGGTGTTGCGAGCCAGGCCCTCTATTGGGACCCGAATAGTAAAAGGCGAGTTGGGCTTCCGAGGGTGACACGGAGGAGATTATTTGAGGACAGAGCAAAAATGGGATGTGCTGTTGAAGCCTTGTATTCCACTCGTAACCCAAGGGAATAATGATTATAAGCTCATATACTGTAGATGGATTATAAGACTGACATAGATCAGACATCCTCCGGTATTTACCGTTTTTCTACCAAATTTCTAATTCTTCAAACTTTAGGAAGCACAGGATTTCAAGTGTACAGATAGATACCTGGGTTATATATCCAGAAGAATAATGTACAATCTTTGTCATTATCATGACAGATTCTTAAGTCAAGAAATTCCCAGGTGAAATTTAGATGAAGCCATTTAATTTTGGTCCTTAACAAATCTTGTATATGTCTTCATAACTCAGAGTATCTTCTAAACTGTTTTAAACGTTCGTTTACACTTTAATAAGGAACATTATCTTTTGCGTTCTTCATTGTCATTTCCGGTATTAAGCAGATCACATATTCTGCAGTTCTGAATAATTTCATTTCGCAATGGAAGCTGTGTGGAATTAGCACATTGGACTGTGTAATATGCAAATAGTGAATTGGATTTCATGTAATATGAGTTCTCGAAGAGTTTGGGTGATCATGGGCTGATTATGCCCTCTATGCTAAGTCAAACTGCAATAAAATTCACTCTTCAAAGGGGAATAGAATTCAAAAATCTGTTTCTTTATGTGAAACCAACAAGAAGACCCTATGGAACCTTAAGAAGGTTAGTCCATAGAAAAAACACTTGGAATGGCCAACTAACAAGTTTCCACAGTTGGATACCTTTTGGACATAAACGAAATCCAGTTAAATCCCTTGCCACTCGAATCCAATGCATATGTAACATGGACGCCCTAGAAGAAGAACTAAATCTTCTGGAAAAAGCCCTCATCCAAAATGGATACTCGCCAAGATTCATTGACAAGAATATGAAATTGAAAGTCCAGAGGAACGAAACATTACTTGTGCCGAAAAAGAAACTTTACATGAACCCTGATTTCAAGGGGGATTTAGCTTGAGATATCCTTAAGAAAAGAAATTCAGCATCTTTAAGAAGAACATTCTTCACAAAAACGATAAGAGTGGTGTTCTCCAGTCGTCCATCTGTCTGCCGGAACCTAAAGGACAAGATCTCCCAATGGTCCATTTCTATATGTATGTATCAGATCAACTGCTCTTGTGGAGCTAGATCCGTTGGCCGTCCGACGCGTACCCTGTCTAAAAGTATTCAAGAACACTGTCCCTCTTATGCTTGCATAATGATTGTGATAATCGAACACCTTGTCGACATAAGTCACTCCACAACAGCTCCTTCAAAGTAATCTACAAAGTGAGGAACAACCAGCCAAGATAATACGCTTTCATCTTCTTTGCATTACTGAAGCTTTAGCCATTCGGATAGAAAAGCCAGAGCTATGAATACATAAGAAAATTATTCACCCATTTCTAATATCATGGTAGCAACCGTGTTTTTCTAACTCTCTCTAACTCTTGTATTTTTTTAGGACTCCTACATAATTCCTCTGTGTGCATCCTGGTTACGACTTACTCAATTAATTACTTGGCATATTACGTAACACCAATACACTTATTTGACTCCTTCTCTGTACTGGCTAATATTAGGAACTATTTTTGTGACAACTCATCACTTTATTTACCGCCCTCTTTCATGAAAAAAGAGGTTTATATAAAAATGTGATTGTACACCTCCAGGTAAAAATGAATTCACCAAGAGGAGTCTCTTCGCTCAACTGCGTGCTTTGAAATTCATTAACGTCTGAAATGGGATTATTCATGATATGTCCTTTGTATTTGTATTCGAATATTCAATGTTCAATGGTTCGTGTTTTAAATTATAATGGAAACTAATTCGCGGACGATATGAAACAAAAAGAGTTTGTCCAATTCTACCCAAATAACGAAGTTCAAAAAACGTTTCTCCAGAACATAAGTGAATATTTTTCAAGTAATCAAACCAATTAATGTGTATATCAACCATCCGATACCATTAACAATAAATAAATTAAAAGTAATAAATAATTATCATTATTAATACATTTCAACTTACTGTTTGCAGGTAAACACGCCGATTTATTAGATTTATTGACAGACATTTTTTAACGAATGAATAAATTAACTCATTGATAATTGATGCATAACAGTAAATCTTGTTCAATTTCAAATTGGTTCAATGTTTCAATGGATTAACCGCCAAGTTTAAATACTGTTCCCAATGAACAATGAAAATAGCTTATACATAATCAAGTTTTTTGATTCTTTTTTCTTTTCTTCTTCAATTAATTTATTACAGAAAAAAGACGAAAATGTTTTCAAAAACAGAAGATATCGGATTGCGAAAAAAACAAAAATTATTCAACCGAAAGTGAACAACAAATGTAGAAAACAGTGAAAATGGAGAATCACAGTGAAACACACAACCGAGAATGTGAGACAGAGATCTTTTTGTGTTGTGAATCGCTGAAAGTAAATCTGTTTAATGAAATATATTTCAACAGATCCCAAACTTGTATACACACCAACCCACTGTGTGTGTTTGTGAGTATAGTTTATGGTGAGCGTGTGCATGCGTGAGTTCATTAATCTCTATAATTTTGTGTTTGAATGTATTACTTTGTGCGTGTGTACGTACGCTGTCCATAGTAAGGCTTTTTCCATTTGTCTACAAACGTGTGTCTATCGTATTAACCAATTATTCTGCGTCTCTATACTCTTTTTTATATGCTAACAGAAATATCACATGTGAATATTGGATTAGGCTAGAAGAAGAAGAATATTTCTTTTGTTTTTCTAAATTTTTTCGCCATTTTTTATTGCTTTTCTTCTAGTGTGTTTCTTTTCTCTCTATTTGAGATTTGTGTGTTACTTACTCTCTCTACACATGTGCAAATACCTAAAACGCAAGCACGTCCGCACACACACGCAGGTACGCACGCACCCACACCCACGCACAGCCTTACACAGGCGAGAACACATTAACTAACTCTGTTTTTCTTTTTCAGCGCATTAAAATAGTAGTCATATGACAGTGAGATTTGAGTTCATTGAAGATTATATGTATTTTCGTGTTTTACTACTAATGTCCTAGTAAGGGCGTAAACGTAATCATTAAAATAATAATAATAACAGTAATAATAATATATGAAAGTTAGAGGAGAATACGAGTACTATTAATACTATTGCTCAAATCTTCGTTATTCTAAAGTGTATTTTGTACTCACCTAAACATGTTCAGTATTCAGGATTTTCATCATGAGCTGACATTAGTTAGAGAACCATTGGAAAACCTGGAAGTACTGGACAGCTGTTTCGTCCTAGTTTGGGACTCTTCAGCAGTAGGGTGCAGCAGGTCGGGCGTGAGGACAAATACTCGCCGAAGACATTGGCTAGGGGTCGCGCTATGTCGTGAATTGGCAGAAGTTAGAATTCATGGGCTGGCCATTGGATCGGGTCCCAGTGGCTCAATGGTCTACAAGCTCACTAGCCTTGTAACCAGAATATCCTGGGTTCGAGCCGAGATGGGTACGTACTGCTGAAGAGTCCCAAACTAGGACGAAACAGCTGTCCAGTACTTCCAGGTTTTCCAATGGTTCTCTAACTAATGTCAGCTCATGATGAAAATCCTGTAACCAATCAAATCCCTACAAACCAACACTTGAATGTTCAGTATTCAATGTAACGTTACACCATAGGACATATTGAAATAAAAAAAATAAATAAGAATTCTAAAACAACTGCACAAGTAAAAGTATATAGAAGTGCAAGACAATGAGATTTCTCACCACCCTGTTATCATGACAATAGAGATTTGAATCATTTAGGTATTATTGGTAAAAGTTAGAATTCATGGGCCTTTGAATCGGGTCCCGATTGCTGAATGGTATACGCGCTTGCTTTGTAACCGTGAGATCCTGGGTTCGAACCCCAATTGGTGCGTAATGCCAATGATTCCCTAAATTAGGTTGTAACAGCTGTCTGGCAGTACTCCCTGGCTTTCAATGGTTCTCTAACTGATATCAATCCATGATCAACTCGTAATTAGGGTACACTAATTTTTAGGCATAAAGCCTGGCCTTGATTACACTAAAAAGCATAGATTCGTAGCTCTGTTTTAGCACACCTTGTAGATAGTGAGCATAAGGTTGACGTTAATTACAGCACTTAAAATTATTGATCACATTCCTACTCACCTTAATTTTGCTTTACGAGTTCGTCTTCTGCATGCAGCTGACGCAAAAGGAATCCACCTAAAGAAGCCAAACCTGTGCGTTCAGAAGAAATTTGTGCAGCCACTTTCCTTACCTTGGCCATCGTTAAATGAATGTATAAACCGGACTACTTCGGCCCCCTCCCCCTAAACCTTTAAGAATTATAACTGTACAAATTATTTTATTTTATTTTTTGCTGACTACTTCATTTTTAATTACATGTTATCTTTGTAAAATTATTTTCAAGTATTGGTTTGTAGGGATTTGGTTGATTGGTTACAGGATTTCATCATGAGCTGACATTGGTTAGAGAACTATTGGAAAATCTGGGAGTAATGGATAGCTATTTCGTCCTGGTTTGAGAGTCTTCATCACAACGCACCCATGACCTTCTGGTTAAAAGGCAAGCTGATATACCATTCAGCCACTGAGACCCGATTCAGTGGCCAAACCATGAATTCGAACTTCTACCATTTCGTCATTTAGCGTAACCCGCACCAACCAATGTCATCGGTGGGAACTTCATCCTCATACACTTGACTGGATGGACTTCACTGGTCATGACCTCTCACTAGAGCTTCAGGAAACTCCATCCTGTAGCTAGTAAGTCACTAGAGAGCATCAGATACTTCGACCCCTGTTGGTGGGTGCGTACTGATGATGATTCCCAGACCAGGATGAAACAGCTGTCTGGCAGTACTCCCTGCTCGTTTTCAATGGTTCTCTAACTGACATCAATCCATGATCAACTCGTAAAAACAAATCTAATCCTTAGAAACCAACTATTGAAAATAACAGTATAGACTTATTATGTGAAAATAAAACACAAGTATCATAAGGAGTTCACAAGAGAGAAAAAGAGAAATCAACGGTTAACCAGAATTATAAAAGCAAGTCAGGTGTTTATTACTCTCAAGTCGATCTGAAGATCTAAAGAATACAACGAACCAGACACGAAATGTAACTGCGATTTTTAAAAGTTTCACAGAGTTTCCGTGTATGCCCGCATAAATGTATTTAGTACAGGTGACTACAGAATTTCACCAAAATCTGCCCTCATCGCTCTGTAGTGAAGATCAGATAGCCTTTCAGTCATGAAGAAAATAAAAGACAAATTCAGCGAAGAAAATTTTCTTTATCAACGAAATCATGAAGTTAAGGGAAAAGCCTAAAAGAACCCCGACGGTGGTGTCGAAGAAACTGCTATTTATGAGCGTTGAATTTAAAGGTGATACCGCAGCTGAGATCCTGAAGAATCGCCTATACAGATCACTGAGGAAAGCCTTCATTACGGCTGAGCTACGTATCAATTTCTACAATCGAAAAATGATCAACGGATGTGTGAAGGATAAACTGCCGCTTTGGGTCACTTCAATGTATGGTTATAAATTCACATGCTCATATGGAGCTAGCTATATTTGCCTCAAAAAGCACACACTTTACAAACACATCTCTCGACATTATCCAGCATGGTTAGTTAGCAAAAGGACGATGCAAGACAATTCTCAATAGCTCAATTCTCGAGCACTTGGTAAACTCAAGCCACGTAGCTCCACCAGAAACGTCTTCAAAGATCATCCATCTACAAGGTGAGGCCAGTTGGTACAAAAGGCGTCAGGTTTCAGCTTTTGTGTATGGCAGAGGCGTTGGAGATTCGTCAATACAATGGCGAACTCTGTATACAGAAAAAGTTTGTCCAGTCTCTTATTCTACCTTGGTCTTAACCTCTTCACTAGTTGTTCCCTGTAAAAAAATTTTTCTTTTTCTTTTTTTAATTTGCAGTTTTACTTTTAGTTTGCTTTTACTTTATTAATTAATTCACTATCATCACTCTCATATGTTCCTTTTGTACATTTTCACACCCTCTTCACACTTGTTAAATTGACACTCAAATACCTTTATTCTCACTATTCAGTAGCAATTTTAACCTTATCAAATTTCTATCTTTGTGCCATTGAGTACTATGTAATTTTCACTTCTAAAGCCACTTCTGAGTAATTATATCACTTATGTCACTCCAACCCCTATTACTCAATAATAGACTACTATACATTTTTGGTAAGTATAAATACGACTGTACAGCCAGCCTCTGAAGATGGTTTCGTCGATAAAGGAGCATTTTCTTCGGTGAATTTATCTTTTGTTTTTTCATCAGATAGGCTATTAAGTAGAAGGATATGTATGAAGGAATTCTGGCAGTGCGGCGCAGCAGCCACGAACTTATTGTCCAAAAAAATATGCAGAAAGAAATGGAGATAGATTGGACAAACACTGAGGAGGTAGAATTTCAAGTGGCATCACGCGGCAGTTATGTCACTGTGTGAAAGCTAATTAAGAAGCGATGAGTTGCGTGTTCGCAAGTGAAATTAAGGGAGTTGAAAGCCTGTGAATAGTCGTACAGTTAACCAAAAGGAAAAGGCAGAGAACAGAGTACAATGAGGAACTTTCTGTTTGTACCATTTGGAATATAAGTGAAGAATAGTAACAACTGATCCTTTTATGAATTCACATTTAGAACAGTGTTTCTGTTTAAGATCATTTAGCATGAGAAGATTTAAGCGTTACTAAGAGAATCTTCAAGTTGATATTTATTTTGAAAGATTGAATTTCCCGTTCAGCTGATGATTCCCGAATAGGGCGAAATACACGTTTTGGCTTCCAACACTGTGTACCAATCATCACATGAAACTAAATTATCCTCAGCTGGATTTAAATGATGAAAAGAAGCGAAAGAAGAAGACCAAATGGAAGCTAAAGAAGTGTATGAGCACTACTACAGTCTCCACACTTCAACTCTACTCATGCATACGTGTTCAATATTCAACGGAACGTTACACCATTGAACATGTTGAATTACAATAAATGCTTAAGCAATAAAACAGCAGTTAAAGTACAGGTATGCAGAAGTGAGTGAGATTCAATAAATTTCCCTCTAACCTGTTACTGTGAAAGCAGAACTCAAAAAAACACTTGAAATAGTACTTTAAGTAATTTAAGTACACTAATTAACTAAATCTATGCTGGTCTGTATTACATAACAGCTCACATTTGTTTTGTGAGAATAAAATGCAAATATAGTGAAAATTTCACAAGAGAAGAAACAAATTACCGGCTAATTAGGATTTCCTGGATGTCTTGCTAAGTAGGAGAGAAGATGGGTCACCTAGGAGAAGCCTGTACAGAAAAAGCACTTCCAACAAGGCAATACACACACTTCCTTAGTTACCTGCCCATTAAATATAAAAGGAATGTTGTAAAATGTCTTGCGAGCAGAGCAAGAAAGATATGTACGGATGACCTCTTACAAAAGGAATTTTAATATATTCACGATTCTTTGATGGAGATGGGCTATTCG